ATCCCATAAATTGTAATAATTTCGTATTCTTGAATTTCTATAAAAGTTTTTCTATACATATTAGATTCGCAATTATGCTAGAATGTCTTTACGAACTGCTACCTTTCTAAATTTGAGCCCAAAATATTTGATTGGTTGAAATGTTATTGAAAGTGACTGTTATTAATGGTGTCAGTGAGATTCATATTAATGATTTCAGTGATATGTTGAGTACATGATATTTGCCGCTTTCGAATGTTTAAAGAGATTTAGAAATAATTTAAGTATGCAAGTGGACTCATCCGGTTCGCCGGTGAGGTATAAGTGGACCTACCCGAGACGTCGGTAGGGATTAAGTGGACTCATCCGGTACGCCGGTGACGTATAAGCGGACCTGCAGGGATTAAGTGGACCTATCTGAGACGTCGATAGGGATTAAGTGGACTTATCAGGACGCTGATGGGGTATACAGGTGACCTACTTGGGACGCCAGTAGGGTATTTTGTGAAATCCTTTGAATTATGCACTGCCGTTAAAGTGTTATGTGCATTTCAATTATTCGGATTATACTTAATTATGCATTTATTGAAAGTGAAACTGTTAATACATTTCTGTTAATAGATCTTCTTTTTGAAAATATTGATATATTTCAACCATGATTATTTTTAGGATTATGATGATCACTAACTGAGTAGCCAAACTCATCAAACTATAGTAAATATTTTTTCAGGATAACTGCGGATTCATTTTGAGTGCTAGTCAAGATCAACCTTGGAAGATACTGTTGTTGTGCTAGCTTTCTTTATTTACTTTGTAAGACCTCGCCACTGTAAATTTGTCCTATCTAGACGTATATATATGTTTTGACTGTCACATCTCAATATTATAAATTCTTGGGGTGTGACAGCCATGTAAGTGGAATTCAGGTACATTGAATAAAAGAAAAAAAATTATTTTTGAATTTATTACCTTGAGTTTCACATGGCCACTCCTTTAAAGTTTAGCAATGAAGATGTAGGCTTATCATGCTAGCATTACAAAGTGCAACATAGTAAATATGAGACAACATTGGAAAGATTGGATGGAGGCATGAAATCACAAAGGAATTAATTTTACAGGAAGAAATCACCACTGATATGAAAAAATAGTTGCATGCTATGAAAAAATGTGAGATAAAATGAGTTGAACTTTCTTTTGTTTTCCTAGATAGCTCAATGAGTAACAGCCATATTCTATTCATCATCAATAAAAAGTATCCAGTTGTCCAAATGTTAAGACCATATATCCCCTACTGATTTGGGAGGGTACAAGCTCCACTCGATACATTAAAAAATGCTAAACAAACTCCAAAGAGAAAACGCTTGATTTATTCTTAACTGAAAAAGGAAAAGATACAAGTGATGCATGAAACTGAGGGTCCAGAATTAAATCCACTTTACTCTATATATTACAACAGTAGATTGGTAAGAACCATAAAACCAAAAAGGCATGAGGGCGTTCCCCTGCAGGTAAAATGCTTCTGCATGATCAATTTCCCTCGTATGTAATAGCCTAATAGATGTCTTGACAACAGTGAATTGAAACCAAAGAAATTGCTTTGAAGAGATCAAAAATAGAAAGAAATTAGTGCGGTCTTTACCTCTTCATTTCTCAATCTATATAACAAGAGGTTCAAAACTCGATAGTCAAAAGACTTCAGATGAATAGCTCTCATGACATCATTAATAGAAATCTGAAAGAACAATTAAAAGCCTGTAATAACAGAATACCTTCAAAACAAATGGAAGAAGATACATAAACCAGTTTGGTTCAAGTAACCAGTTTGGCTCAAGTAATAGGAACAAAGTTATCACAACTTAAACTATGATAGTGTGTAGCATCAATCTAGCAACAAGGACCGAGAATTGCATATACATAAATGAGGGTCAAGAAATTGAAAGAATCACAGAAACTCAATAGAAACCATAATTACATAAAGCACTGCTTATTGAAAGTAGGTTGCCTTCCACAAAAGACACAGGCACTGCATAACATGAATTGTATGTGTTTGCCACAGACCCAATGCTCAGCTGCACATCCTCAAGCAAAAAAAAAAAAGTATTCCTCCTTTGAGGCCTGCATTCACAGCAGTTTCAACATTCATAACCCTTTATGTATTTTTGCTCCTCCAGAAAGGAAATGCTTACTTGAGAGACCACTTCATGAGAACTCTAAGAAAATGAATGTTAAGAATCTCGATCACAAATAAACTTCCAACTGTACTCAACAGGGAGTTGACTTGTTCTTCACTTCTTTTATATAAATCCCAAAAAAAAAACAAAAGATATCGACCCACTCGCCTATAAATGTCTCATACATTTGTCAAAGGCAGCAGAAGACACATTTACATTCAAGGATCTATGGAGCTCGATTTAGTCATACCAAAGAACAGATCACAAAAAGCACAGAAAGTACAAGAAAGTTTATCCAGAAAGAAGAATGTGCATAACATGGATTGCTAGTAAGCCGGCGAACTCATATTGTTATTGCTAATGCTTTTCGTAGACAGATGTGACCCACAAGGGCACATTAGTCCTTTATATATATTTTAGCCCTATGCTTATGTTATATTATCTATAGCATGTAAGGATATGTACAATGTAAAAGTCCTAAGGCAGTTTATGTACTACAAAATAAAAAGGACAAATTATGTCCATACTGTATTTAATTAAGGTAATACGGACTGATACAATTTTATGGAAATGTTCCATGGAAATACGCAGCCGATCCTAATTAAATGGGAAAAATCTATGATAATGATGATGATGATGATGATGATTACACGGAAATACACCAGAAGATTTACGACATTGGATGGGTGCCCTTTTTCTAAAAAACACCTCATGCCCTTTTTCTTCCCTAATTTTTCCCTATGTTTGATAATCAAAACATAGGACCAGTAAAATTTACATCTTTTTTTTATTTTGTTAAAGACATAAACATCGGACAACCTTCGATATAGGTCATCTTAAAGGTCAGACAAACCATATCGCTTCTTTTTGGTCTCATGTTTTGAACATTGGACAATGATTTGGGTAAATATCACTTGAAACAGGTCGAACCACTTCACAGTGCAAGCTTAGGGTTTTCAGACAATTCAAGACAGTTCAGACGGAGCTTAGGGTTTTCGGACTTTAGTTCACAGTGCAAGCTGATCTTGGGGCATTTGAACCGCACACCAAGCACCAAGCCCAAACGAGCTCACTTCGAGAGCTGAGGGAATTTGAATTTGGGCATGTTTCTGCAGTTAAGTTTTTCTGTTTTTTAAATCTTTGAATCCCTAACCCTCAAATCCTATGAGAAGATCCTTTAGTACGATAAAAAGTTTTCAAAAAACCCCTAGCACTAAAGGTTGGTAAATATTTTTCTCAATTTTGCAAACCAATCTTCATGGACATTGTAAAGAACTGAGACATATTGGGGCAATTTTCAATTTTAGCAAAGTTAATTATTTTTTGGATTTTTTAGGTTGTAGAGGTCCTTTGTTGAATCCTGCTCTTTGGATATTCAATTTTTCTTGGTTTTAAATTATTCAAATTCGAAATTTACATTTATGTGATGATAGTTAAAAGTAATAAGACTGATTTCTGATAAGAAGTATTTCGAAGGATGCAAATGTTTTTAAAAAAACCACCAAATATCTCACCTCCAACAAACAAATTTTAGGCCTTTCTTATAGCGAAAGTTTTGGGTTTATTATCAAGATTTATAATAAGGTAAATTTAGGGTTTGAATTGCATCCAATGAATTTTTTATTATTTTATTTTTGGGCTATGTACCCTCCAATATATTTCCTGTGATGGGGCTCAATTTCCACTTCATTTATTAAATAGCATATTTATAGCTTTAATTGTAAGTATGAATTCAATTTTTAATTTCCTTTTATACACAAGTCACTTGTAATTTGTTCCACAAGCACTTGAAAAGGCGCATGTTAATTTGTTTTTTAATGATTAAGTAAATTGTTATGGCGTTTTTATGAATACGTCATTAAGAATTTGATCCTATAAATACTTTAAACACTACTTTTGCGAATTTTTCTGTAATTGTTTTTTTCCCTGTGATTGAATACCACTAAGCTTCAATTGTGTCTGAACAATTTTTGTTCAGGAAAGAAAATCATGTAAACAATAGCTCAAAGAAAAATAAAACAATTACGGCTTAATTGCCATTATAGTATGGATCCATATGATCAACATTCAAATATGTCTCCTCAAACCAGTGTTTGAAGCCACAGACTGGGGTTGGACTCGACAAGATCCGAACCTGAGTCATTGATGCGGCTCAAGAAGGGCGAGTCCCAAGTCGGAACAATGATATCTTAACAAAAAGTTAAAGTTACAAGACTTTGGGGCGAAACTGACGTTTTCCTCCAGAAAAACATGGTCCGAACCCCAATTGACTCAAGCAAGTCCTAATTTGGCACAGTAATTTTTTAAACACTGACTTTAAACCAAGAAACAAGATTAAGTTTCATAATCATCATCAACTGAGCCTTATACAACTTAGTTTATACATGGAAATATTTCGCAATAAGCAAAAAGACCAAGTAAAATTGTGTATTAGAGTCTACATGATTGAACTCTAAACATCATCATCATCATTTTAGCCTTTTCCCAATTAATTGAGATCGGCTACATGAATCTTAGTTCTCCATTCTGCTCTATTAAAGGTCATATCCTCAGTGAGACCATAAGTCGCCATATCTTTTCGGACTACTTCCAACCACGTCCTTTTGGGCCTACCCCTTGGCCTTTACAGTCTTTCTACTTGAATTAATTCGTACCTCCTAACAGGTGTAGGCGCCACACATGGCCAGCCCACCTAAGTCTACTCTCTCATTTGATCGCCGATTAGTGCCACGCCTAAATTCTCTCGAATAGATTCATTGCGAATTCTATCCTTCTTGTCTTGCCACTCATCCATCTCAACATCCTCATCTCTACTACACTCATTCTATGGATATATTGTTTTTTGTCCGCCCAACATTCCGTTCCATAGAGCAAAGTTGGTCTCACTGCTGTCCTATAGAACTTGCCTTTCAAATAAAAATATCCAATTTACATGATCGAGTGTGAGAGTCTGCAATGAGTAATTAAATATTGCCATTATGCATCTAAGCTAGTACACAATTCAATGAAATAATAGCCCCAGACTGAAAAAGAATTTTGACACTCAAGTTCTCTTTTAAGTTTGGTTTAATTTGACAATCAAGTTCTATTTTAAGTTTGGTTTAGAAGTAGAATGTTCTAGATTCTTTGAAACCGCCTAAACACTCATGACTTAGCTTATTAGCATTGGCACAATATGATATCATTAGCAGTACCAGATATTCTTGAAAAATGTGGCTATATAAATTCCAAAGTAGAAATTTCAAAAAATTTCTCTTTCTTTATTAATAACTGAAATTTCTATTTACAATTGTCACATTACGATGTAGAAAAAACCTACTACCGTCGAGGGATCTTTAATTCTTACTGCCAAAATAAAAGTTTGAATTCAAACTTACAATATGAATTCTAATACAATTAGGAATTCTAATCTAAGTATAAACTCCAGTCCAAGTAGGAACTCTAATCCAAATAGGAGGAACCCTAATCCAAATAGGACTCCTAATACAATTAGGACTTATAAAATAAATAAGAATCAAAAACCAAAAATAAATTGATGAAGAAAGTGGTGAAGACTAAATGGACCTTTTGCCAGGGATTAGTCCCTTGGAACTTAATACACCCCACACGTACTTATCAAACCTATGGCACACTCTGATCCTTTAGTCTTGCTAAATCCTCTTAACTAGGGAAGCACCTCAGGCAAAACCCTCTAACTGAATTGGAATTGAGAGCATGGACTACAATTTGGTTTCTTTCCAACCCTTTACACGTTGGGTCATGCTTAAAAGGAACCAACTCTGAACTAAACAAAAGGTGGGCTGCGTATGCCCTCTAACTTGGCTAGCTCGGGTGGCACGTGCCACCCTTATAGCCCTGCCTTTTAAGTGGGGTGTACCTGCATAGAGAGAGAAGAAGTGAAAGAGAGGAGAGCAGAGAGAGAGAGAGAGAGGTCTAAACTCAACGTGCTGAGAATGAGGGGAGCACCCACCGTTATATAGGCCTCAAGGCCCTAGGGTATGCCCAATCTCAATTACAATTCCCAGATAATTTGTGAGGTGAGAAGGAAAAAAAATCGGAGCCATCTATTCTTAAAATCAGTTATCATGATTAGGAAGGAATCTAAGAACCGTATACCCTGAATCTTTGACCTATATCTCACCTAAATCTTTAACCCTTATCCAATACTAGTCAATTTAGGATAAGACCAATCAAACCATATCTTTTATTTTGACAAGAATTTCTTTTCTCTCACAAAACTTTGTAGAAATTTAAAGTCAAATAGTTTGGTCAATTTTCAAAATCATAGGGATATTTTTTTTTTAAATGCATTAGGTAAGAATGGAAGCCTAGACTTTAGCTGGGGCTCAAGTGGTGCTACCACCATGACCCCAATCCTAGTCTCAAAATTATAGGAACATATTCAACCAACTAAATCTAATAAAATCTCGTATAGAATATTTCCTAAAGGTTTCCCTAGCACATGGGAGAATTTACTCAACAAATCTCGAAAAAATTGGAAATAAGTGGGGGCCAACCTAAGTGGGGCATGTGGCCCATGTGGGCCCCACGTCCCATGTGGGTCCCCCATGTGTGGGAGTTGGGCCCATGGCCCCCTAAGGGATCCCACTATTCCCCTCTTAATGTCCAAAATATCAATTATGCCCATTTCATGGTTTTAATGCATAAAACATTTTTAAAAAATTCTGAAAAAATATTCAAAAATCACAAGAGCATAAATAAAATTGAAAACAATATTTTTTAAATTCTTAAAAATTCTAAAACACTCAAAAATTACCTCTAGAAGTGGATTGGTACCAATAGGTCAAGAAAAGTGACAATTAAGCCCTCCACCCATGTTAGAAAACATAATCCACAACTAGCTTCTCAAACCAACCAACGAGAGCCATGACCCACCATCATGTCCAAGGGCTCATGATTGGCCTGTCAAACATAACCAATAAATAGTGCAATCACAATCCTAATATGTGGATTGTAGTCCCCCATAAGAGCAAGTCAGATGCACGTATCACTAGAGTACAAATGGGATTCTCTATGCACATGTACATGTATCTCTCTATAGGGTTGGTTCCTAGAATGTGGTTGTCATATGTACATATCGTGCGGAAGTTTTATTGAGGATTTGGCCTTACTCTTTTAGTGCTACAACTGCACACAAGATATGAGAAGCTCTCCTGGGCGTCTCTCCGACCTCATCAAGGGATGACCCTCCCGAAAACCCTGAACATTAGTGCTTATGCAGGAACAAGGGTTTTAGACATGAGCCAAGCTATAGACCACCCAACCCTAGGTCAATCAACTAATAATACACTCCCACTGAAGTGCACAAGTCACTATATTTATTATTTACATGCTCTCGCGGACTTTAAAGACTCCAAATCCCAACAAGTCTTAGAATACTAATAAATATAGAAATATGGCAAAAATTAGGCATCTATAAATAAATTATATAATGTAATATTTCTAAAATGTAACGTGAGTAGCTTTTAATGTTTCAAAACATATATAGAAAACATACACATGATATTATATATCAAAAATATAATATCAACATAATAAAGGTATAGGATACTTCTTTGTACAAAAGAAATATACCACAACTTGTCTACTATATATGCACCAGTTTAGATGTAGTGTGTAAGTTGCCACACCAAGCCAGCCACCTTATGAGAGATTGGGGAAAGCAGTTTTATTTTGTTTTTTTTGCGTTTTTCTTCTTCTACTTTTTTTGAAAAAAAGATGACAGCTCTACATGTTGCCACACCTAGCTGCCTTAATAAGATGGGAAAAACAAGTTTTTACAGTTTTACCCCCATCCTCAATGGGTATGGTTCAAAATAAAATTTGATCTATTACTGTATATAAATGAGAGAAGGGTCCACAAAAAGTCATACAATCCACAACTTTCTGCACGACTATGGGCGCGTGTATTGGATAGGATAGTTATATCCATATATGCATCCCACATTACAAAACTATTTTATCATATCCTTGATCCCCCTATCCCCGTTCATCATTCAAATATGTATCATGATATTAACCACAAACATTTCAATACCATATAATACTTGCCACTAATAGCTTTCCAAATATGTTCTAGAAAAGGATTTAGGAAATTTTTGTTGAATGAACAAATACAGTCAAGCACAATCACATGTTGGCTACCTAGATTATCAGAATTTCTTAAATTACCCAAGAAATCGTAGCCATGTCAGTGATGGAAAAAAGAAAACTAGATTGTGAACTCACATTTTTCTTGTTTATCAGATCAGTGCACAAGCGCCTTTCCAAAGCCCAATACTCATTACCACAACTAAACTCCATCTGTAACCTAGATTCAATATAAAATGAAAGTAATTGCTTCTGTGATTCAGGAATACAAAGCCACGTCTAAATTGCCAGAAGTAATATGTATTACTAATTATTAACAAAAACCTGTCACTCATAAGTCCATGTTGCTCGAGTAGAAGAGAAAGAGGTCTAAAACGATCACCATTGATAGCATTGGGAAATGAACTTGTCACCTTTTGATAACTATTCTGCATCTCCTTTAAAATACAGCATTGCTCATTTAAGTCATTAAGATTCATAACAGTACTTCACCATAACAGATGGTCATCAAATCAAAAGAATCCCTTACCAACTTATATGAATTGTGGAGAAATTCAAAATCTTGCTCAGCAGTAGGCACTCTATTGAAACATGGATGTAAAATACCTTCATTGAAACTATCCAACTGTTTTGAACAAATCACTGCATGTTATACTAATTCCTTTTCTTGAAGAAGGAAGCACAAGACTCAATTTCAGGGTACCTGGTAAATATAGCTCTCAGTGAAAGAGAGGAAAGGGAGGTATCTGAAGACCAGTTCAGGTCTGTTGGCATCCATACCATGGAACATAAAGTATGATCTGCACTGTTACATTAACAAAAATCACTAAATTGTGAAAGCTTTGGAAATCCACAAACAGGAACAAAGTGTATTCATTATAATAGGACTCCAAGACACGTGACAATTTGAAGCTATCTGCTCAAGTAAGATGCAAAAAACAAGAAGAGTAAGTGTAATTTTGACAATGCAAGTCAAAGAATGTGACAAGTCTTGTGGAGTTTGATCAAGTGACATGCCACCCAATTTGTAGGAAAGCGAGGGTTCATCGCATTGTTTTGAAACACGACTCGGCCAATGTACTCGCTTCTTTGCAGGGGCTTGTACAATTTAAAATTAAAAAGATAAAAAGAAAAAAAAAAAAGACATAAACGATAAAAAAAATCTTATATCGATAATATTTAGTAATCATAATTAAATAGCCTAAAGTGTCAGAATGGTAAGTCGCCATGCGTGAGGAACAAAAGGTTTGGGGATCTAGTATTCTGAGTGTCAAATACTTTTAGGAGTCGTTTTAAAAAAGGTGTGTGTATATACAATCTTGGACGATGACTAAGGTCGGGGGTTCCATGCCCCTCATTGGCAACTTTTTTTTATCACCGTTTCAAATTAATTGATATGTACACATATTATATCAAATGGAGTAAAAAAGATTAAATTGGGTTATTGGGGGAAGAGGTTTTGAGATTCCATACACCCTTTTTTTTTATGTACCCCTTCAAACTAATTAAATATAATTAATTAGATATGTACATTATGTACCCCTTCAAACTAATTAAATATGATTAATTAGATATGTACATATATTACTAATTTTAGTAACTTTTTATAGAAAATATCTTACTAATTTTAATATTTTTTCTTATTCAATAAAAGCACCTTAATTTGGGAAAACCATTTTTGAACTCCTAAAAGAAACATTAATTCGAGTAATCCCTTACTGATTTCACTAATTCATTTTGAACCCCCTTAAAAAATTTCCTTAGTTTGAAATCAACAACCATAAATGCTAGCCATTTACACCTTTTATAGATAAAAATTGGAAATGATATTATTTATATACTATAAAATCAACAATTTTATGGTGAATCATAAAGTACGAAAGATATGTCAAATACTCCTTCCAGGTCCAATCACCATTGGACCTCCCTCTCCAGTGTCACCTTGTTCCTCACAAACAAATAAAAAATATTTGACTTATGGTTTAGGCGCGGGTCCCTTTGCATGCACAAGAGAGATAATGGTTAGGTTGTACAAGGGTCATAGCCTCAGTAAGGCCATAAGCCACCATATATTTTCTCACTACTTCCAATCATGTCTTTTTGGGCCTACCCCTTACCCTTTTTTAGTCTTCCACTTGCACCAACTCGCAACCCCTAACAAGTGTTGCACTGGGTCTGCGCTGCATATGGTCAGCCCAACTAAATCTACTTTCTCTCATCTTATCACCTATTGAAGCCACACCTAAGTTCTTCATAATGTATTTATTCTAAATTCCATCCCTTCTTGTCATGCCACTCATCCATCTCAACATCCTCATCTTAGCTACACTCATCATATGGGTATGTTGTTTCTTGACTACCCAACATTCTGCCCCATAAAGCAAAGTTAGTCTCACAGCTGTATAATAAAACTTCCCCTTTAACTTCATTGGTATGCAGCGACAACATAAAACTCCAGTTGCACATCTCCAACTTGCCCACACATGCCAGGGTAAAGGAAGTGGATTGTGTTAAGTAGGCAACCAACGTAAAACTTTGTCAAACTTTTCCATGAAATATTTGACTTATTAATAATCAATATATATTACAGATTTAATATATGGTACTAACTCAAAAGTAAAAATTTATTATAATTACTTAAATAAAATTAGTAATACTATAAATTACAATATTTTCAAACTTCTTAATTAAAGTATTTTCGAAATTAGAGTATGTAATAATATTCATTCTTTGAAATTCAAATTAATAGAAATTTGTCTTTTCAGAAAAGTGGTGTCTTCACATGCCATGAACCCTGATCACTTGAAGCTCCTTATTGAATCAAAATCACAAGTTATAAGCTCCAACTAGCCTTTGCATCTAATTCAAAACCCTTCAAAACAAATCAAGAATCAGTCAGAATGGCTGACTATAGAGGATGAAATCTATTAAAAGCGGACTGGTTTTTCGAGGAACAAAAACCCGCATGAACTATGATCATTTGAAGCTCCTTATTGAATCGAAAGGACAATTTATAAGTTCCAAATAATCAGGGATTTTGCTGCTAATTCAAAAACCATCTAAACAAATCTAAGAATCAGTTGAAATGATTGACTATAGAGGATGAAATCATCAAAAGGCAGACTGGTTTTTCTGGGAACAAAAAACCGCATGGACTCTAATGGTTTGAAGCTCCTAATTGAATCAAAATGACAATTTATAAGCTCCATCTGATTAGGGCTTTTGTACCTAATTCAAAAACCTGCAAAACAAATCAAGAATCAGTCAAAATGACTGAATATAGAGGACAAAAATCGATTAAAGGCAACTCGTTTTTCTGGGAAAGAAAAACCAGCAAGAACCCCAATTTCTTGATTGTTTGATGCTTCTTTTTGCACGAAATGGAAAACCTCGACCGAGCCCAACAATACTCGGCTAAGTTTGCATAATCTCGGGCAAGTACATGAAGTACTTACCCGAGTAGTTTACACCCATGTAAGTTCTTCATGGGCTTACCTGTAACTTGGGGCTACTCAGCCTCGCCCTAGTAACTCAACCGAGTCTAGGTACATTGATTCATTGTCCCACATTCAAACCATGCACTTACAAAGAAAAGAAAATGATGACAAAAATTACTAGAGGACTACGAACAATCCATTACCAAAGTAACCAAGCTTCTAAGAAAAGGACTCCTCGTCTGAGTCTTAACCTGTCAAAAGTCCTCTTTTGAGCCCCTTTATTGAAGCCAAAATTACGGACCGAACTTAAGGGTCATCTCAAGGATGCTCAAGAAGAGTTGCCTCAAATCTGCTAGATTTGCAAACTCATAGTGGTTGGACCCACCCACTACATAACGAAATGTAGAAATTGTTTTCACCACAGTGCTATGGTTCAAAATGTAGCCCATGTTGGAGTTATGACCTTTCAAGGCCTAGACCCCAGTATTTTATAGCTCTTGTTTACAGCGAGAGTGAGTGAGAGCCATGTGTCTCTAGGATCATGGTGAACTGGGACCAAGAGTCACAAAACCCTGTCATGAGGCTTGCATATGAGAAGCATTGTATGGGGATGGTTGAGGGTTACCTCTAGTCAGGGTAGGATTGTTTTGTGCCTCATGACAAGGTGATGGCCAAGACATTGAGAAACCCATAATTTTTATGATAAGAGCTCAAGTAATTGTGAAAATGGGCACTATATGAGAAGGTTAGGATTTTCTATGACATAAGCCCAAAATCCCAAACCTCGAACCTTCCCATGGCATGAGCATACACAGTCATAAATGGGAAGCCGCTCTTTTATAATGGAAGAGAAATGCACATTTGCCAAAAGCGGACCCCTGCATCCACAAGAATGCATGTCTTCAAGGGTGCAGCTGTAATTTACTATAACCTGAGAGTCTAGAATCATATATTGGATAGACTTTGATGAGCAAAGCATGGGCCCCTGGTACAAACTATGGGCATGGGCTTGTTCGGTCATTCTGAGAACTTCCATTGGATTCTAAGTCTAGCTAAGGGGAGTACTTTGTTACCCTATTCATCTCCATAGGATCCTAATTTCTTTCATTGATATTTGTATATGATGCATGGTTATCTTGGTCTTCTAAGGAGGGGTCCCTCCTGCTCCAGAAGCTTGATCCAACAATCCAGGACACGGGATCTCGATTTAGGGGATTCCTTCATACATGGGATCTCGACCTAAGATATCAGAAACCAGATTCCATGTTAAAGGGATCTAAATCGCTATGCCAAAAATCATGGTTCCATGAATAAGAGGAACCACAATTGAACCAACTTGGAATCGATTATCCTCAAATTTCGGAGCAAGTTTCACCGGCACATTTTTTGGTTCATATAAAACGTACAAACTTTTTGAATGCCATGATTTTTTATATATTTTACAGTTCACAACTTCACACACCTTGTGAATCATGACGTGTCTAGTTTCAAAGAAGGGCAATAAGAGAAGGCAAGGAGAGAGAAGGAAAAAGTTGAAAGGAGATATTAAAATTAGTCGCATTTTGGTTCTATTGAGGAGTGAGTTCGCGATCAATACGCTTAACTACCTTGGTGCTAGTTCATTGGGTCATGTTCACCCCCGAAGGACTTCTATCGCTTTGGTGTTTGTCAACCAAATCGAGCCACTCATGGGTGGCCTTATGGGTGATGGAGTAACATGTATGATTGGAAATGTGAGGTCTCTCCTATATATGTCATTGATCCCGTGGCAATCTTTAACGGAGGAGAGGTATTGGGAATTATATATGGAAATGTCATTCCCTTTTTTTTTGTTATGCAAAGGAGGACTTAACCATCGTTATATTTCCTTTTCAAAAACAATCCATTGCAGTGTTCCTAAATGTAATCATCAATTGATATTCAAGCGGGAGTCGTCCAATCCAACCGATTGGTGGCAAAAATAAGGACCTGTGTATGTAGGCAGACTAATGTCAGTAGTTGTGCAATTATTGTAATGAGCCCGCATGAGTAATTTTTTATAGTGATTCTTGCACAAGTAATTGTTTTTATCACCCTCCATTCTTTATTAAAAACAATTGTTTTTATCAAGGTGTTTGACGAACTATTTTTTAACAGCTCCAAGAACAAATCGAGAAGAAAAAGATGTGTCATATGACCTAGCAATGGCACATTATCACCTAAATACAAAAATTTTGGATACCAGTTTCTCTTTGAGTGAAGTTGGAAGGTGTTGCACAACGTCCTAAACTATCATTGTATGGAAACGATATGCTAAAAATAACAAAATATCAAAAAGAATTTCAATGCTAAGATTCCTGTTTATATTGACACTGGGGTTTCTGTATTTGGAAAAAGTTAGACATATTGTTCAATGGAATTCACTCGCAAATTACAGTACAATGAATAACTGAACTTTGGGAACCTCGATCCTGATCTCAACGGAACGTGATCCAATTCTGCAAGAAATTCGCTCCTATGAAAATATGAATGCGCTCCCTGAAAGTCAAGGATCTCGATCCTATACCTGACCATGTACGGACCTCATTCCCCCATCCACAGAGCTTCGAGCCTACCTCACTCCATGCTACTGCTTGCAATTGCGAAGTTTTTGTCACTTCTGTTCCCAGTAATTATGATATGATGCCAAATTGAAGAAAATTCATAGAGAATGAGTTGGAGAAATTTTAAGAATTTTTATGAATTTTTCTGAAGCTAAAGATGAAATTTTGAAATTGTTTTCAAGAAATGACAGATAAGTACACAGACCTAGGTCCCACACATGAAACCCATTTGGCCCACATCATCACCATGTGGCCCTAACATGACCTAGGTCCCACACGTCAACCCCCTATCGGGACTAATTTGTAATTCTGTGATTTGTTAAAATAAATTATGTTTTACGAGAATTTTGAGGAAATTTGAAATTGAATTTGGGCAAGTGTTAAAAATGGCACATGGGCTGATCTTTTAGAAGGGAAATAGGGTTTGATATTATCATTGAAATCCTAAGTCCTTTTGGAATTAAGCGCATAACCAACTACCCTAAGTGGCATCATGTGATAGGTTGTACATGCACACCTTCATGACTTGGATTTGGAGAGAAATCTCAAATTCTAATTGTTTTTGGAAGGAATTCACAATTCCATGAGGGGCATGCCCCTACATAGCCTTTCTCATTCTATTTAATTGAGATAGCATGGGTAATTATAGAAACACGTTGAATTGATGTGAATGTATGTTTAAGTTAAATGATGAGAAATTTGGAGTGCGTTTAGGATTTGATTAGGAGGAAAATGGTGTTGAATCTCATCCACTCATCAAAATGACATCATGAGTAATGAGTGGATAGGATCACTCATGCCATGGATGACTTGTGTCACTGCCCTAGATTAACTCATTTAGAAGCATTACTACACAAGCCTATAAATACAATCCTTGATCACCCTAAACACTCAATTGCTATATAGAGTGCCACGCACCCTTTAGGCTCTCTCTTTCATGCAGTGAGTGAGTTCTTTAAAGTAAGAAGGTAAGCTGTCCAGTGTAAGAAGGTAAGCTGTCCAGTGTAAGAAGGTAAGCTGTCCAGTGTAAGAAGGTAAGAAGGTAAGCTGTCCATCAAAGCTTCATCCCAAGGTTGGGGTGAAAACCTAGCTCCAAGATGACTGGATTTTGGAGAATCCTTCATAAGCCATAAACCTATGGAATCTTTCATGGATGTAACTCCTCATTTACAACAAGGTATCATAGACTCTTACCTACTTATTTCATGAAATACTCAAATTGATCCTAGAGTATGAACCTTTGATTCCTAGTTCTTTGATCGCATTTTAGAAAGAATCTGATGTTCTTGAGAATTTATTGATTGATTTCTCTGCAACTTTTGGATCAAAATCAATCAATTAATTCATCTGCTAAATACGCTAATTTGGTGAAATCTTAAGGGGAAACTATGCCAAAATTTTCCTACAATTTTCATCACATTTCGTGAGCCTCTCCTTTGTTGAAAAATGCCACAAAGTGTAGCTTAAAAGCTTCCCATAAGATGATGTGAAATTGGCCATGATCTTGGTACCATCCGAGTAGTCCTTCTATGGAAAGCTTTTAAGCTACATGTAATTTGGAATTGATGTCATGTAATTTGGAGTACATGTAATTTGGAATTGATGTATAATTTTGCATAGTATTTGTACAGTACTGAATTTTATAGCAATATAGTCCATCTCCTTGTGTAGTTTGGTTGGAGTTTTGTTAAGGGACCTAAATGGAGTTGTAAGCCTGGGATTTTGAAGTGTATGGATCATTGTTCTAAACTGCGGCTGCATCATGTGCTATGCCATATGCGCTTTGTAGGGATGCCCCGGCATATGCGGCACATCCCCATGCATAGCACTATGCACATGCATAGTGTCCCCAAACTGGTATGGAATCTCCATTATGTGGCTGTAATTCATGTGTAAGTGGTTGTAATTGAAATTCATGCATGTGTATGTCTTGTAATTGAATTGTAGTTTGAGTTTTTAAAGTCCATTCTAAGTGAAATTTTTAAGTCTTGTAACTAGGACTTGGTTCTATACACCATCCCAAGGTTTCAAGTGGCTTCAATGAAAATTCCACTAAGGTTTTTCTGACAACCTTCACATGGATTGGTGGGGAAGTTATGAGATCCAATAAGTGCACAAAGCTTTCCACAGTTCTAAAGAACATCATTCCACTCAAAGGATCCCCAAGGTTGGAGGAATTGAGGATATTTCAAATGTTTATTCGCACAGAAATTGAGAAATCCAGATGCTGAATCCTTTATTTTTTATTTGTCCAACCTAGAGGAGCTCAGGGACATTTCCGCTGCCTTAGAGAAGCATTTTGCAAAGGCAGTTACTATTGGGCAGTTACTATTGGGCACACTGATTTGAAGTTTTATATTTTCATTGTTTGCACCAAAGTGTAAAAGAATGATATGCACACAGAAATATCCTTTCAATAGGTATAAACTAAGCAATGCAGTTGACTGGAAAGGATGGTTTCCTTGCAAGCCTCTAATAAAAATTCCAACACAACTAGAAAAAAAAATATTAATAGGAGGCTTACACCATATAACTAATGTAGGACCAAAGAATTGGCTCCTACAAAAGTATGATAAGAACTTGGGGGCAGAGGGATGTTAGGTTAAGGCTAGGGATTAAGGAAATATGATTTGGTTTCGGTTTATGCTTAAATTTGGGACTAGAGGACTAGGGTAAGGATAGATAACATGGCATAATGCCATATTAAATACAACCGCCTAATGCATTATGTGGCCGCATCAAACCCACATTGCTCTTGGCCAGTAGTCTGAGCCCAAAAATTCATCCCAATGTGAGAATGAAATCAACTCAAGAAGTTCCAAGCAAATTTTACAAGTTTTATCGAAAAAAACTAGGGGAAATACCATTTCATCCCTTCTTGTGGACTAAATTTCTAACCATGCCCAAATCACATGGCCGCATAGGCTTGGCTTGACATGGCTGATGTGCCAACAGGGCGGGCACATCACGTATGCCCAGTTAGGCAGGCTGTGGCGATGCAGCAGAAGGCAGCATTGCCTCGATGCAACCACATTTAATAATCATGCATAAACTATAGAAGGTCACCACACCATTAGGAAACTAAATTATCTTATTACCAAAGGAAACTTAAATAAACAAAAATGAAGAGTCCAATTAGGAAAAGGAAAAGGAAACGAAAATATCTAAAACTAAGAGTATTCATAAAAAGGAGCGCTTTGTACAGAGCCTAGGCTCTAAACAATCAAAATAGAGAAATGTGGTTTCAATATTGGAAATCTTTGTGATACCCTTAAAATATATTTTCATATTTATTTATAAAGTTTAAAACTTCAAAAAATAGTGTAGATCGACAGATCTATGAAAACTTGAAAATCATGAAATTGACTGTCCAAAAATGTGTTACAAAATACACTTTTTCCAAAACTTGAAATCCATTTTTTTCTCATGTCCATGCATCTTGATGTCGAGATGATCAATTTGAAGATATTTGGGGATCAAAACAACTTCTTCTAATGAAATTTTTGAGGCAGGCTCAAATTTAATTGTTTAGAGCCTCGGCTCTATATAAACTTTTCCCTTCATAAAAATATAGAAACCCAAAATAACTAATTAAAATTCAACTATAACTATTAATAAAATATAAAACTCACTATAATTATTAATAAAATATAAAACTCAAACCAAATGTAAAAAATGTTACCAATTATGTCATTGGAAATAGCAATTATGTATGGAAGAAGAATAAGGGAAAGATGAGAACATTGAACCTCTGACCCATGAGGGAAGAACTTCCTAAATGTGTAATCAAGTTAACAAGTCTCCCTCATAGTTTGCATATTCAATGGATTACGAAAGACGGCAGGGGGCAGTACAACGATTACAGAAATGACTTCTATCACCAAAAAAAATAAAGATAGAATAATAATATATACATCATTGTGGCTAATGCACAACTAATATAAAATATAATAAGAATTAACTTTAGGATAACATTGTGCATCCAACAATAAATAATGTACGATCAATATATAACAGAAAATATAATGTGAAGTCATGCATTAAAGCAACAATACCGCTGTCAGTCTAGCTATAAAAGGAAAAAGGTTTGCAGACTGACAAAATCCTCAAGGGTAGAATTTGCTCGTAACATCGCATCAAATCCAATCACAGAATTTGGTTCTTGAAATATATGGCAAGAAACCATCTGTTCACTAAGACCTTCTTGGGTGGGAACCGCCATAAGTTGTTCCTCATTATCTGCATTAAAAGCAATGAGTAACTTTCAATAATAGAAGAGATATAAGTAGTGCCCATCCACAATCAACCCCTCCATCCCCTTTAATGGTCCACCCCAAGAAAGATGAGTATGAAGAAATTCTAAAAATGATAAAGTCTTAATCTTGTTCACATGCAACAAGGCTAAAACCAACAGAAAGCCAAGAGCAACCATGAGCAAACACAGATTATGGCATTCACAGTATAACTAGAAGTACTAATGAGAGGACTGCCACTATATGTGAAGTACAGGAAAAGTATAGAACTACAAAATGCAACAGTGAAATGATATGATTATCATCAGAACAAGAAACCATGTGCTAACTGTGCAATAGATATCAGAAAATCTATCACCTGTACATAGCAGATGTAATATGTTGGCTAAAATATGCACATTGAATGAAAGAAAATTGTTGGAAGTCATAAATCACATGTAGCAAGAAAGACCATAGAATCGTCAACATCCAGTAGTATAGTCTAGTATAAGAAAACATCACACTACACCTTGGAACCCTTCTAGGCCTAATGTTAAAATCAATGAAATAAGTAACTATTGCAAAAAGCAATGCAAAGAATAACTATGCCAAATCCAAATAGAATGCATCTAATCAGATTACCTACACATACAATAAGCAGGAAGAAGTCTAGGGTATGGAGCACTTAGCCCCCGCCATGAAGTTTAAGGTTCTAATACCCTGCTAATTGGAAGCACTAATAGCACCAGTAAAAGAATTTCTCTTAGTAAGCTCAACAGCATTCGTCTGCTGAACGAGGAGTCACAATAGTTTCTAATATGGTCTAATGCAAAAAGTTCCACCAATCCCAGATTTCTACATGACGTATTAGCTCAAAATCAAACTGTGCCACACTGGGAAAGTGGTAATGCAGTCGAATATAAAAATCGAGAGGAAACAATAGCACTTAGTATATTCTATACTTTGAAATTTGATATATTTCAACAACCGCTTACAAGTTCACTAAATGATTGATAAAAATTACATAAATGTTCAGTGCAATCCTATCAGTCATTAACCATTACAAGATAAACATACCCTTCCCAGTGATCGAAGTCAGTGCTTTCTCAAGAAATGCGGAAGTTACCTGCACATAGAATTGCACTTACAATCAAAATGAACATCTGAATTCATTTGTGTGTGGTGACTAAACCAGAAAATGAGCAGACCTTCGGCAGCTTCCCAGATATTAGTTTACATTTCTTCTCCAAGCTGAGATCACAGCAGGGTTGGACCTTTGAAAGATCAACATCCCATCTAAAACAATCAGGAATGTCCTTCATAGGTTGTAAAGAGAAAACATAGCCAATCAATGCTTTAAATAGCTGCCCATTCTTAATGCTGTACATACAAATGTACATGCAACTATGCAAACCAATAACCAATACCATTATGATATCAGACAGCGGAGCAGAAACTGAACCAAGTGTGTGTGCGTGCATGTGTGTGCGTGCGTGCACATGTGTGTGTGTGTGTATAGAAGTGCATGCTTTCTCCTTGTAGAGTTTATATTGGAATTAGATGGTTGAGGTAGGGGCAATGGTAGACTGGAATAGGCTTCAGATGGGAAAGATAAAAAGAGAGCTGGATGAATATCTTCTATTTATTATATGTATGCTCACTTTTGTGCTATATAGATGTATCTCTTTTTTAT